GGCTTCGAGCAACTAACAAAAACGAAAAAAAAAGCAGCAAAAACGAAGCAACAGCCCATCCGCGCGTATACGATAATTTGCATATATTCCGTGGCGAATCGACGCGCAAAGGGGGCAGGTTAATATTACTCACCTCTACATTATGGACCAATCGTGCCAAGGTCGACGATCGTATTATATACGCTGCATATTATTTGTCAGCTCGCGATTGACGAAGCTCGTACTATATACGTATGCGTAATTTCTCGTCGTCCGCATTTGGCTATCGCGAATCCGTCGTTAATTAAGGGCAATCAAATCGTAATTAATCGTGCGTCCTTTATGAGCGCGCGTGTGGATGTATATCGAGTGTAGCAGGTCGTTTTCCGCAATGCGAGCGATACCCGTAAGCATTGCACATAGCACTGCGTTTCAATGGAAGCAAAAATATCACACGAGCATAATAGGCAAGAATCTCTTTGATTATACATTCTGTTGCTGCTGCTGTGCACGAGCCTTATATATATAGACAAAGTGTATATAAATTCATATACGCGTACATGACGTGTGCTCGCGCGTACCCTATGATTAAGGCTCGCAGTGCACCAGACGCTTATGAAACGTATGTATATGAAAAAAGGGGGCAGCAGCCAAAAATACATATAATGTCACGCGCTCGGGGGTTACGCCTCCCTCGGCTATTCTCGTGCGTTATACGCATTACATGTATAGCACATGCCGCGGCATGAGAATTCATCCATACGTGTATGATGGAATAATGAGAGGGCTGCTGCTGCTGCTAAGCGCAAAACCTGCCAAAACAGGAAGGAAGTTCATAGAAATTAATCGAATGAACGCCCAATCTATTTCATAGCCTGCCGCGCGCGCGAGCCGCGTAATAGGCCATATCGCACACCTTTTTGTGTTCCTCTGTTATATACATATTCGGTTTATGTGCCGAAAAAAAGGGATGGATGGATGAGCCTTGTGTATTATGTTGTATATATACGTGGCGGGCATTGTATAAGCGTATCGTATCGCTTTCCGAAATTCTCTCGTTTTTCCCAACGCGCTTGGATACATCATATAGCTACATGTGCTTTTCGTCGTAAAGTTTCAACTTTTTTTTTTATTTCTGACATCTTAATCGTCGTATTTTGACTGCTAAATTTCACATTCTCTACTCTTGCTCTGTATCAACTGGACGTTACCATTGTCCCGGGCTGCAAGTGTTTAAAGCAACAAACTTGTACGTGCCATCAAAAGATCAATCGGTTCGCTTTTGCGTACGCACTGTTTGTGCGCAATCGTTCGGCTATTCTACGATATTTCACGACCGATCGCTTCTTCACAAGCTTTTCTCAAGAGAGAGAGCGAGAGTGATGAGTTACAGGGCAAATACTTCCGGAGCGAGCGGCTATTATGGAGTCCAGGGCTGCTGCTGCTACTTCTGTATAGTCGTTGTTTTGTTCCGCTCGCGTACATACCTACATCTCCGTCTCGGGACAATGAGCTGCAGGGCCAGGGAAAATCAAAAGCTGCTACAATTAAGATAGCCATCGTGGCGCTTCGCAGCAGCAGCGCAGCGTCAAAGCAAATAATTCCGGATATAATAGCCGAGAGCTGGCGCACTCGCCTTGAGATTACGCATCGCTCGACGCCGCCAAAATTTCTCTCAACGCGCCGCACTATTACAACTATAACAGCGAGACACGAGAGTTGGCCCTACAAAAGTGCCTTTTGTCGAGAGCATCATCTTGTACACGGATACGTATAAGTACGAATTTCACCGGGGCCAAAAGTTGCTGTTTCACAGTACACAACGACTATAGTGTCGGGCCGCGCTCGCGCTCACGTGGACGCGCGCACGCCCAATAATGCAGCGCTCACGTCTCTGCGCCAGTACATGATCGCTTTAAACGCTCTTTTGTAGTGCACTCGACGAAAGAGAGAGAGGGAGATATCTTGTTAGGGTGCGTCCGAGCGTAAGCGTGGATCGCTCAGCTCTCGACGTCCACGAGGATATCGATCTTGCCTAATCTGCTTTCGAGGATCATATGTATACTCCAGCGAGAGGGAAAAAACTTCAACAGAGAGAGAGAAAATCGAGCCTTTTTCCCTCATTGTTCGGGCAAAAGTACATGACGTTGAGAAAGGCCCGGCCTATTATGAAAGAAAAGCGCCTCGCTCGCGTGCGGAGATCCGTCCGCTCCTAGTACATGTATAAGAGGATATAAGCTCCAAGTGCCTCGGCTATCCAATCCTATATATGTAACGTTTAGCTGCATGGATGCTATTATATTATGTATGACGCCAGCGCTACTATATATATATTCGCGCGCGCGCGCACGAGTGCTGTATTATAATATATGTGTACACGGCCTATGTGCACAGATTCGCAGAAGCGGATTTTCCCAATTACCGTGGCATTATTGTTAGAACTACTCTCGAGGCTCCCTCTCACTCTCTCTCTCTTTTCCAGGGGACTCTACGTCGTGTAACCCTTCGAGGCTGAGCTGGCGTCATCGTCCTCGTCATTCGTCGCTTGTCGGCGCGTCGAGGGCGACGAGACACGCGACTTAAGAGGCTTATATATTATATTATACGGCTAAGGACTGCACAGCTTCATACGCGACAATCATCCTCGGAATACATACGGTCAAGTTGTTCCGAAGAATTTGCGAAAATCATCGGTTCTATACGCTCGATTAGAACTAATGGCCGTTGTAATTATCGGTAACGACGCGCATGCACGTGTGCGTGTGCCGTCGTCGTCGTCTCGTCGCGAGCGAGTGAATTCGCACAGACCATATACAGACTCCGTAATAGGCAATATTACTTAATTCTCGTATTCTAATATGGACGTAAACGCACGATTGCGCTTCTGCTCTTGGTTATTATTATACGCGCTAGCGTACACATACATTACGTACACATAAGGTACGCATATATAACGTAATAAATCTGAACGGCCGTAACGATAAATTCATCTGTCAACGTTGCAGGTAGCCGCGCGCGCGTCTTTTCTCTCTCTTCTTGTATATATTCATAAATATAATTCGCTAACAATTTGCGCGAGTACATAATACACGTTTGGGCGCTCTCGGGAGCTTTTTCTCTCTCTCTCTCTCGTCGCGCAATGTTACGCATTTGTATGTTGTACACGTGACAAACGACTCGCGAGCCCAGCTGATAGCGTCACGATCATCGAGTGATTTACGAATAACGATATATTATTGTAATATATTTCCAATTCCGAAGGAAGAAAGAGAAATCGTCGTCGCGGTAGATGGCTAATTACGATTGTTTTACGGCGCTGATAAATCAAGTCGCGAGATGCACTGTGTGCATGTATGCAACAAATGTCTATATATGCGCGCACACTTGTGAGTATGTGTGTGTTTTTTCTCCACTATATCACTTCCTCACTGAAAGATGAAGTATTAATTTGTGCACATCTAGACGCGAATGCAGCAACGACGAAAGTCGAGAATTGGTAGTAAAACTTTTTGATTTAGAGCTCGTACGTTCGTAAAACTTTGAATATTAATATGCTCTGTCTCTCTCTCTAGCGAATCGAATAATCGTCTAATTAGTCGTAAAAAGTGGCGAACGAATATGAAATGATTTTGTTTTTTGTTTCTCTCGCATACGCACACACACACACATACACACATAAATACACGTTTCCATCGAGGCATGTGCAAAAATGTATATAATATGGGGCCGGGGGCAGGACCGTGGCAGGAGCAAAGAGATCTGCGGTTAAGCCTGCACATGTGGTGCGCGCCGAGAGCCAGAGCAGAGAGAGAGAGACAGAAAGAGTGTGAGATATATCCAATGCAGCTCTCGCTCGCGAGCAGCGAAGGTGGCGATGAGAGGAGCACAGCACGCAAAATAACAAAACAAAAGCCCGAAAAAAGAGGAAAACGACGTCGAGAGTGCAGCGTGTGTGCAGCAACGCGACGAAGATCGGAGTCCCGCCTCGTTCGGTGTTCGTTTCTTCGCGATTCTTCTCTCGCACTGCAACACACATACACAGAGAGAGAGAGAGAGAGTCGGGTTATAAGTCGACACACCCACGCATTCTCGTTTTTCCCTCCTTTTTTTCTTATCCGAGACTCGCCGTTGGCCAAGCACACCTAGCACGGTGGTCTTTTCACCGCGGGGCCGCACACACGCACGCAAGCGAGCGAAGCACGCGGCTCATGGCATATTATACATACGCATGCATATATACGTACACGTGGTGTATAACACACACATCCTTCCTTTTTTTTCGCTCTCTCTCTCTCTCTCTTGCTATTGTGCATGTAATACACGGCTGCGATCGCTGCCTCGTGCATTTTTCTTCGCGCGTCCATTTTAACTCCTTCGACGCGCGGCTCTGCAGCAGCAGCAGCAGCGCGTGCAGAGTGCATGAACTTGACTCTCTTTCGTTTCGAGTCGAAACAAAAAACAGAAAAAAAAAGGAAGATAAAAAAAGAAAATTCGCATCGGAAATTCGGTCAGCTGGACGTTAATGGATCGAGTGTCGCGTTAATTACAAACGAAGCGTACGCGCATACGCTCGATACGTACTACACGCGCGCATAGCCTGAGAAAAGGTCTCGACCTACCGCGCTCTTTAATCGAGAGAGATGGAGACGAGCGATAATCTCGTTGCTTCAATGTATGTACGCTGCAGAGCAAAAAAAAAGGAGAGAGAGAAAAGCGCGTCGAGCATCATCATCGTATTTAATAACTGTACAATGAGGTCCTGATCGCCTCGGCTCTCGAGCTGCAGTGTGCGTATACATACACATACACACACGACTCGTACAAATTAACACTCGGCCGGTCGCGCGCGTGCAAACCCATGACGAGCTCCGAGCACGGCGAATATTATTACATGTGTATCCCGGCTCCAGCGGCGCTGCGGGATCGATCTAGAAAAGAACCATATAAAAGGGGGGTTAAAAATTCGATGCATTAGTCGACGCGCGGCTCGATCGCGAGAGAGCTTGAATTGCTTCCATTACCCTGTAGTGTGCTGCTGCTGCTGCTGCACGACGATGACGAGACTTCTCATTTCGTTTCTCGGAACTGCAGTACGATGACCAAATAGGTGGTTGTCGAGCTTACGATCTGCGCACACACGGACGTACCGATTTTCATACACATATATAGATAATTCGACGTCCGACTCAATTATGCTCGGTGTTACTCGATGATTATTTATGGTATATATAAATACGTACCGAGAGCAGGAGAGACTGGTCGAGCTTGAACAGTCCGAAAACGCTGAATTGGACGTTTTTGCTCTGCAGGTACTTGTAGAACTGATCGAGCTGCAAAGTGAAAACCCGATTAGACACGATGCAGGGCATGACTGACTTATCCCGAGCGACGCAAACCTGTTTCTCCGTGGCCGCGTTGTCGACAATGGCCAACCACTTGATGATGATTTCTGCTGTACGTTCTTTCTGCAAATACAATGAACGATTGATTGGTGGATTTAATGATGAGGCGAAAATTGGTAATTTACCTCTTTTCCGATTCTAGCCGTTGAATTCGTCAAAACCACTAGCAAGTATCCGGTAGCTAAGAACCCAAACCAAGTCTGGCAGTAGAAAAAAAACGTGGTGTAACCCATAATTACCACTTGATTTATCACTGTTCTGGCTGGATAATATATCGCAAAGATTATTAAGAAAAATATGAACGACACGACCGCCAACATGGGCAGGCCGAAAAAGTCCGAGAGATCCTGCGACAGGTCGCAGAGAGAAAAGTACTGGGAGCGATGGTAGGAGAATTGCGAGTCCTGGTTCTTGTACAGTTCGAAGTTGAGGAAGTTACTCGACGATTTGAACCTCGGCTCGATGTAACTCTTGTGCGAAGATCTCCTAAATATGCCTTCCAAATGGCAATTAGCCATCGCGAACATCTCTACTAGACAGATCAACACGAGGCAGTATTGCAAAAGTACGGTCAGCAGTATGAAGTTCAGAGCCAGCCCGGCCATGACCGCGTGGTCGAGATAGCCATTGATATAAGCCGCTGGTTGCGCGGATATCGTGAAAATGGCATAGAGTATCAGATACGTCACGAAGGTCCTCCTGGTACGCCTCGTAATCGCCTTCGAGAGCTCGTCCGAATTTCCCGCCAGAGACCGAGCCAGGGCGTAGAACCTGTCGGCCAAGCGAACGATTCTCCTCTGCCTGGCGCAGTACAGAACGTACAGGGTGATGCTCACGGAGAAGGCGAAAACGATGTCGAAGACCTCCCAGGTCTTCTCGAACAGCGATCTGCCCTCGTAATCCATCAGCCATGTGACGCGAGTGTAGTAGGAGCCGATCAGCAGAAAGCCCAGAATCAGCGCGACGTTGTAGGCGAGATCCTTTCTCGAGGTCGCGAAGCGATAGCGATTGAACTTGCTCAGCTTTTCCACGCTCATGGTCGACAGACCGAAAATTTTGAAGAAGTAGTGCAAACGAAGCAGGAACGCCGACATGGCGTGGCGTCATCGCACTAGTGAGTCAGCTCTCCGTAATAATAACGCAATTACGCGCGAATATAACTAGAGTAGCGGCGCGATGCAATCGACTATTTTTCCAATTACATTAGAGCCTTTTAGCGATCTATTATTCATCGATCGCGATAAAAGGGCTCGAAACTAGCAATTGCATAAAATTAAACGTCCTCGTAAAAATGCTCGTTACTCGCGGCTGCGTATATTATACATTATGTTATGCAGCACACGCACATGTATAAGCATAACGAGCGCTCGTATACATTAAGAGCTATATATACACCAGGTATAATATGCGAGTTTGCAGTAAACCGTATAATACGTTCGAGCATTTTATATAGTCTTTGTTTCTTACGAAATCTACAACAAAAAAGTTGGTCTCTGTCTTGGGAACCAATTTCCGTTTTAGAAACTCGTCTTGTGCACGCATGCAGCAAACGGCCGAGCGAGCTGCGAACGCAGGGTAGGTAGCAGCAGCAGCAAAACCGAGCGACGAGAGAGAGAGCATAAAAGATTTTTTCGTGAATGAAAGTTATTCGTTGCGTTCGCGTTGATATTCTTCTTCTTCGGCTGCTGCTGCTGCTGCTGCTGCTGCTTTTTTTCCTCTCATTTCGGACATTATGCGCGTACACACACAAATACCTAATTTTTTTATTTACCTGACGTGTGGGGCGGGCTATCCTCTCTCTTTCTTTCTCTTTCGCTCGCTCGCTCGCTCGCCTTTTTTTTTTTATTGCCACTGATTGTCTCCTTGTACAGGTATTTATACGTATACGCCCTCATCCGTTTCGCGCTTCTGTTATTCGCACTTGTGAAAGGGTTTTCGAGTCTGTCTGCCTGTCTGCGCGCGCGCGGCGCATGTATCGGATATATAAGTATTGGAAATCCCATTAAATTTTTTTTCCCTTCATAAAAGCGTACGCGATCGAATTATTTTTCTTTGATTTTTCGAGGTCGGGCGCGCTCGCGCGTCCGGGTGACATCATTTCCAATCTCGAATTATCGCATTTTCCGGTTCATGACCAAAATATGTACGAAATGCAGACGATAGCGTTTCATCTACATTCACACGGTCGATTATGAAAAAAAGACCTTAGGCGCGTGCACGCGAATGAGTCAGACGCATAATATTCTCTCCGACTCGTTAGGGTAGGTCAAACGCTTGATGGAATTCGAAATCGAAAAATCGGCCTTTTATTTGTCGTCGAACGCGGAAAAACGGCGTGTAAAACTGTCATCGGCTCGGCCGTTTAGTGCGCATTTGAGAAATCTTCCCAAAAACTGGTTTCCTCGTTTCTTTCATAAAAATATCTTTTCAATCTGATATAGCTCCTTTTTACGACGTCTTCTTCTTCTTTTCAACGCTGCTGCTGCTGATGCTGCCGTTGCTGCTCTCTGGGCTAATACATACTTAATGAAGATATTTTTTCAAAACGTCATCGATATACGCGCGATGATGCTGCGTCGAAGAAAAAAAAAAGCTAACATAAAGGGGGAAAATTTATACCGATGCGTCGGAATTGTTGCGTGGGCGCATATATTTATCAGTTTGTTCAAATAAAATCTTTGCGTGTTTTTTGAACGTTGCCACGAGCTTTGATCAATCAATAAAAGCACAATAGGCCTGACAATGGTTTTGTATTATTATATGTGTATAGCTGCGCGCTCGTCGGAGCCGGGGCCGGCTCACAATGGCATTTTACAACTTCATCGAGCGTCTCTCATCGGGCGTAAAGCGACGATCCGAGCTTGGGATTTGTAAACACAGGCGTGAAATTCAAAATTTCCGCTGTAAACGCGAGGAGAGAGAGAAAGAGAGAGAGAGAGATGTGCCGATTCATCGGCGATCGTTAACGGCTTATGTACAGGTCTGTCTGCGATATCGACGCGCTTCTTTGTATTTAGCGCCAGTGCGGAACTCGACTTTCGATTTCCATCGACTTTATTCGCGCGAAAGATTCATAATCTCGGGCCTTTTGTCTCCCTAATCCTCGTCATCATCATCATCATCGCCGCCGCCGCAGCCGTATATATAGCCGCGTGCTCTAGTCTCTCGGCACGAAGTGTATACAGGATCGAGCGAGGGTCGGAGGATGAGTACGAGGTGTAGGACGAGGAGGACGAGGGGGAGGAGGAGGTGGACGAGGTGGAGGGCTACGTGTGCGGTCTTGTGACGTCATAATTCGGGTCTCCTTCAGGGCGAACCGCCCCCTTAATGAGGCCCAACACCTCTAGAGAGAGAGAGAGAGATCACGCACTTCTTCTTCGTCTTCTTGGTGGCGCGAGCCAAGATTAAATTGGTACAGCACGAGAGAGAGAGAGAAAAGGTGAGACTAAGTTCCGTATAGCTGCACTCTGCTCCGCGAGACTGTACGTGTATGTGTGTGTGTGTGTGTGTGTGTGTGTAGAAAGCCTTGGAGGCAACTTTACTGAACAAGAGAGAGAGGGAGAGAAAAAAAGGGGATATAATGGAGCTCTCACCGCGTGCGCGTTGCGGACTTCACACGATGCCGCGCGCGCGGGTTCGCAAGCGAGAGAAATGATACACAGCGAGAGCAGCATCTTTTTCTCTACCTCTCTCTCTCTCTCTCTCTCACTTCTCGAATGAGAGAAGCTTGCATATGGACCTCCTCGGAGCGATATATATATAATACACATAAACACGATCTCGTACGCCGGTGTGTAACTGCAAATTTTTGCGCCTCTAGTTCGACCGAAAGTCCACACTATGCATAATGCAATCACATGCCATAGGGTATTCGAGTCGAGCTCCGGCAGCTTATAACAATATTATGCAAAAAGTGCCTCTCGGTAACCGTGTACTAGGCGCGAGTCGACGTTACCATTGAGATATGTGTGCATATGACGACGAGTAGCCGTTTTGCAATGAGCGAAAAAAACATCAGGCTCTCGTTGAATCGACAAGTTTTTAGGTACTCGAAAGAGAGTGAGAGAGAGAGCACAAATCCTCTTTTAAAGAAGCTAAGACTTATTATTATAACGTTTTGATATTGTTTGAATTTACATATGCGACGCAGGGATTTACTAACGATACGTACTAGATCAGGATCGAACTATAATTAAAAAATAATATATTTTCATCATTATATACAGGGTTTATTTCACTTTGAGTATAAACTATCAATCATTGCAATTACTCAATCTTTCACGCATACAAAAATTATTCGTGGAGGTTGTCGAGCAATGTTCATGGACAATTATTGCTTTCAGAATAGAATTTTCTACTAGCATACCAATAGAAAGCAGATACGTGGGGAAGAATTTCACTGATAATTGGAATGTTCAAAGATATTGGATCAACAAAAAAACTGTTAAAAACGAATTCAAGCCCAAACCATGTTAATATTTGGGTTTATAAATGACGTCAGTAACAGCAAAATGCATAACAGTTTGGAATACTTTATTGCTATTAAGAAAATTGAAGAACATATACAGATGAAAGATTTTAAATATTACACAATGTACTCATGTGATTATAGAAGTCTTCATTGCATTCAAATGTATCCAGACAAATCTTACGCTCCTGAAGTTTGCCCCGATTATTGTATCTCCGTTATGTGAGTTTTGAAGTTCTGTTTTAGTCTTAATGATAAGTGACAAATCTCACATTAAAAGAGTTTTCTTTGATTATGTACTGTATTTACATGTTTAGTGAGGTTACATTTTTTTCCAAATAATTTGTGACAAATATTACACTCGGAAGGTTTTCTACGGTCATGTACTAAATTCATATGTTTATTAAGGTTACCTTTTTCTCCAAATGATTTGTGGCAAATGTCACATTCAAAGAGTTTGCTTCCATTATGTACTGTATTTATGTGAGATTTGAGATTACCTTTTTGTCCAAATGATTTGTGGCAAATATCACATTCAAAGGGTTTGCTTCGATTATGCATCCCTGTAAAGTGAGTTTTGAGGTGTTGTTTTTGTCCAAATGATTTGTGGCAAATGTCACATTCGAAGGGTTTGCTCCGATCATGTACTGTATTGATGTGAAGATTGAGGTAACTTTTTCGCCCAAATGATTTGTGACAGATATCACATTCGAAGGGTTTGCTCCGATCATGTACTGTACCAATGTGATTATCGAGTACTTGCTGGTATCCAAATGATTTGTGACAAATCTTACATTCAAAGGGTTTGCTACGATTATGTACTGCACTCATGTGTGTATTAAGGTGACCGTTGCAGATATATGATTTGTGGCAAATCTCACACTGAAAGGGTTTCCTTCGATTATGCACTATATCAATGTGAGATTTGAGATTCTGATTTAGTCCAAATGATTTATGACAAATGTCACATTCAAAGGGTTTACTCTGATCATGCACTGTAGTAATGTGAGATTTGAGGTGGCTCTGGTATCCAAATAATTTGTGACAAATCTCACATTCGAACGATTGGCTCCGATCATGTACTGCATTAACATGACGTTTGAGGTAGCTTGGATAATCAAATGATTTATGGCAAATTTCACATTCATGTGTTCTAATTCTTTTACTTGTTGGATTGATATGTGTTTCTAGATTAGCCTCACCCAGATAAGTTTTTCGATCCAGATTCATCTGAAATTGATTTTCTACTTTCACAATGGGTAGATTACACTGATATTCAGTTTTGTGGATGGTTTTTTGTTCAAATTTCACATTTTTGCATTCCAAATCAATGAATATATTTTCATTCACGTCATTGATCTGATTTTCGTTTTCCATTTTAGCTATAATAGGTTGAACATTTTGAACCTCAGATTTGCAGACAGCTGTCGATTGAGGCGTCGGTTCAACTTTAACATCTTTGCACTCAAATTCTATAGATATTTTTGCATCCGACTTTTTTTGTAAAGCAATATTCTCATTCATTGGATTTTCCTAAAATTGAAATTGGGTTATAACAGTGTAAAATTAAAACATAATTTAAATTATTAAGCTCACTGATGTTTTAAAGACTGGAGATGCTTCAAAGTTTTTGACTTTGTAAGAATACATCAAATTGAAATTATAATCGTCGCCTACATCTGACCAAATTTCATTTGGTTCTTTTTTCACTCTGAAAAATAATCAAGTTGGAAGAAGCGTTCGCTTAAAAAGTTATCATATCATGTACAAAAATTCGTATACCTAATTGAATCTCCGAAGCTTTCCATCACTCGATTGGTTATAAGTAATCACTGCGAATTTTTACGGTATACACTAAGAAAATATTCGAGGTTATATAAGCCTCTAGTAGCTAACGCTGTAATCACCAATTTGTAAACACTTGCTTACTTAGCTGAATTTAGCTCTTTGCTAGCAACTGGCGACTGTACACCCGCTGAGTTAGATACGCGGACCTCGAAAATTTGCGATCGATAAGTCGCTTCCTTCACTGCGTAACGTACGTCATGAAATTGTATTCACGCACTGTTGTTTATAAACAGTGAAGGAAGCGACTAATTGATCGCAAATTTTCGAGGTCCGCGTATATCTGACTCGGTGGGTGTACACTGTGTAATCCTTGGCGATATTTCACCCTTCTACCGTAGAATTATTGAAGCTACACCAAACTTGTAATGAAAATTGTATGCATCCTACCGTAAAAATTTCTCAAAAGAGAAATATATTTTTAAGTTCGATGAAGTATATGATGATACTACTTACGTGATTTTAGGATTGAAGGTCGCGACGAGTCATCGAGCGTCATAAGATATAGTAAAATATCCGCAGGGCAGTTGCGGAGGTTATATTCGAAGTATGACTATTTTTCTTCTTAATCTAAGTTTTTTCTTTTTTTATTGTTAAAAAGAGGCCAAAAAAAAAACGTTTTGTGATTGTTCATTGGATCTGGGTAGTGAGGATACGACACATTCGGCATTTCAATTATTGATAAAGTGATGGAGTACGGGTATGGTTTGTGCTCGAGCAGTCTGGTCAAAGGTCTTGGTAATAGATATTAAAGCGCTCGCGTCACGTCGCAATGTCCAAAAAGTTTTTTTTCTTGTTTCTTCTGATCGTGATCAGCTCTTGATTCAGAGAGAGGGCTTAAATGGCTTATTATAATCCGAGCTCGTTTGTATTAACGTATCTATGTTCGTACTTGTATAATATGTGAGTTTCTGTGTGTAGCTGCAGCACACAAGATTGCTAATATATACCGTACATAAGCAGCTAATGATATTTCACGTGCGCGGGATTAGCTCGTAACAGTCGCGTGTCAATAAACTTTTTCAGCCTCGTTCGTTCCCTTAATTTTTCCACACGTGCATCTGCAAAATTTCCGCAATTTGCTCGTCATTTTTTCCGGTATTTTTTCTCTTTGCTTTTTTTTACGTATTCGCGTCGCCATCGTCTTCGCGATACACGCGAGCTCGAGAGCTTTTCTCGCGTTATAAGCGTAGGATAAATTGAAATTTTACGAGCGCGCAACACTGTAGGTATGTGTATACGCGAGTAAGCATCGTATGCACGACGTACATGGCCGCGAATGCAATGACAGTAAAACTCGGAGAGTACTCGATTTAATAATGATTAGTTATAATTCAGCAGAACTGGTTTTACGCGCGCGCGCTTCGACTTGGCTCGGAGCTCTCGACGCGTCGGGGAGCTGAGCCTCCTCCCCCCCAAAAAAAAAGAATCAATATGTATATGAAGTAATAATTCCGAAGGGTCTAACGCTGCGTGCGCCTCGCCAGCAGTGAGAGAGACTCTCGAGTGCGAAATATATCGGCTCTTCAAACGCTTTTGAGAGCTGCGCTAAATTTCGGGCCTCTCTTTCTCGGCTCGGCTCGAGACGGTAGTAGCTCTCCTCCGTGTATAGTCAGGTGCACGCGCGGTACGAGGGCTCCTAATAACAGGCCTTGGGTCCAAGAGAGCCGGCCGACTAGCTGATGACTTCATTGAACTCGCGCCTCTATCTTTCGCCTGCAGCAGCAGCAGCAACAACCGAGCGAGCGAGCGAGAGAGAATGAGCTGCGCGCAGAAGGAGGAGAAGGAGGAGGAGGACCTCCCTGAAACCGCCTCGAATTATGAGAGAGAGAGAGCAGCTCTCGAGCATGTATGCTGTATCGTCGGCCTCACGCGAAATTTTGGCACGCTCGTCGTTTAGGGATCCTCGAGCAGCACCTACGTGCGAGATATACCGCAGATATTTATATACGCATTAATGAAAATCGATCGGTATTCCATCAACGGCGATCGAATCGACCCTTATTTATCTTAAACGCGCCACACACACGAGATGTTTTAATTTTTGCGCGCGTCCAAAGAAAAAATTACTTCGACTCGAAGAAAGTACATTTATTTGTATGGATTTTGTGGCAGTCCGTACTCGCTGCAAAAGTACGTAAAATAAGATTGAACCGCAGAAGGTACATATGCACGGTAAAAATTATTAAATAAAAGCCAAAGTATTTACTCTCTACTCTCGGCGAAGACACAGGCGTGTGTTACAGTGTGCTATATGCAGTATACGCAGGCTCATAATCCTGTGTAGGCAATCCAGACTTGTATATAAATATAAATGACCAGAGAGTTAAGGAGATCGTGTATTATGTGTGTATATCGCTCGAGTTGCGGAGGTCGTGAGGAACAGAACCATGTACGCAGGTATACATAAAAATAGCGTATAATATACCTTTGGCGACTATCCTGACAATCGAGCCCAGAACCCAAAGTAATTCGTAAATTTGCACGATAAAAAGTGTCGCGCGGGTGATTTTGGCGCGATGCTCGACAGTTTTTTATTATCATCGCGCGGAGGCTCGTCGTCGACCACGCAAAGAGAGAAATCCAATAGTGCTCGCTGCGAATTCCTGCGGACGCGTCCGCGCTGTGTTTCAGAGCTGCTCTCGCTCCTCGAGCAGCTATTAAATGCCTTTGGTCTGATTTACCTTCTGCCTGTATTATGTGTGTCTACCTGTACGTGTGTATGCGCGTGTATGTGTATACAAGCATCTATCCCATACGTATACATATGCAGCATTTATATATATTGCGTGTATATAGCAGTTCGCGATCGCGCTGCGGCTAAATTATTGCTCTCTCTCTCTCTCCTCTCTCTGTCTGCGCAGTCACGCTGTTATTTCGCATTTACCTTTCCGCGCTTTGGCATTTAGATCGCGTTTATACACATACACACACACATATATTTATATTATAAGCCTCGATAATTCGTGAATTATTCAAGTTTATTCTGGCGGGATTTACTCGCGCGCGCGCGCAGGTATACATCGTTGGCCTTTTTTCTCTCCCTCTCTCTCTCCCGCGCACCTTATACACCTCCCGATCGTCTCTCGAAAAACGATCCCGGCGCAAATAAGAAGCGTATACGATATGTAGAATTTTTTATCGCGAAATATAACAAGAATCGAGCTCGTCAAAAATATCAATTTTTTGCTGGCACGTGTCGTCGTGCGCGCGATGATCGTTATACCGGCACGCGGCTCTCTCGGGAGGAAAAAAGTAAGCTCGCGCAGAGATGCCACCTTTGAGCGCGTCGATAGTCCTCCAAGTTTTTCTCGTATATAACGTTACAGGCTTATCTGTGCAGGCTCCGACTTTTACTTTTTTATCATCGATAGCATAATAAACGGAATCGATATCGACGAGAATGCGAGAGACTCGGAGCTAAAAGCGCAACGATCGAGACAAAAATTGCGCTCGCGTATTATATACGTAAAATTGATAGCTTGTTTTATACCGCGTACATACGTATATCGCAAGAAGTAATGTTTTGGCTTGATTAAAAAAAGATGAATAAAACATTATTAATTCGAAGAGTGAGGATGCGGCATAAAACTGCGATGAGGACTGCGCATTAATAATGCATGACAATTTTTTCCTCGCTCGAGCCAAGAGGCGCAGATAAGAATGTGGTCGATCCGCGAATATATCCGTACATTTCGAGCTCTCGTGCTCGATATAAAAAAAACTTTTTCGATAAATACAAGCCGAATACAGATGGTCGCGATATATTTTATAAATATATGTAGTTTTGTAATAGGCACTCAGCGCGAGCCACATATATATATAGCGAAATTTCCGCTCGCGAGATTGCCGGCCGTGTCTCATTAGTTCCATAGCGAGATCGAGATGCGACGAGAGAGAGACAAGTCGGCGCGGCGGAAGTGTCAAAAATTTTTTGAAAAGCCGCAGCAGCTATATACTCGTCCGCACGCGCGTCGACACGGCGACGAACAGCGACAAAAGTCGTTTATTTGGCTAATTATTGTATCACCTGTTTTTCGAGGCGCTCGTAAATCAGCCCCATGTAAATCTCTCGCACTCCTCGGCTCCGAACTTGGTAATGGCCCCGCGAATCCGATCGCCTCGCGTGCGCAAACATATTCACGGTTTAGGTGACGATTAATAGACCATTATGTACGTGCGTATAGGATGTCGTTGTCGTCGTCGGTCGGACAGTGCGTATTATTATATACTCAGCTCCGAGCCCTCGGTGTATATAATATAATAACGTATACGGATCGAGGCGTACAATTTACAAAGCCTTTGAATTTAGCTGGCATTGTCGCACCGGGTCGTCGTCGTCGTCGTCGTCTGCAGCATCACGCACGGTCAAGTAGTATTAGCTCAAGCCTCGATGTATGCTATGACCGATTATATAAGCAGCCTCTCCGCGTGTGCACACGTGTATGTATAAGGTATATATATGGCCACCGTGAGAATGGACTTTTCTCTCTCTCTTGTGCACGCGGGTCGTGCAGTATATGGATGCTGTAATGTACACACACATACATACATGCACACACAGATGAATGCATTGAGGTACAGAGAGAGAGAAACAATTCCGCGACGCGCAGCAGCAGCAGCAGCAGCACAGTTCCTATAAAAGGAGCGCGCCTCGGTATTCGTTTCAGCAATATTATAATACTTTACTTCCGTTGTTTTTTTGATTTCTTCTATACATTTTAACGCACACGCACACGTCTTATAAACAGTTTAACGTGCCGTGTATTTATGCTCAAGGCCCGGGCGCAGCGAGAGCATAATGTACGGACGCGGGGCCCGCAATTGTGCAAAAATAAAGTAGGCAGTATCGATTACGCGTACTGCTCGACGCGCCGACACAGATCTCCGCGGTAAGTAGCTACGGCAACGGTGGCTATTCGGATCGCGTGCGTCTCTCTGTTTCGCGAGCAGAGAGAGAGAGAGAGAGAGAAAGAGCAAAAGAGGCTACGATTACCTCAGCGCCAGAAATATTAGCGTACCGAATTAATTGCCGATATATATTCATACCCAAGTTGTTCTCTCTCTCTCTCTCTCTCGTCGCGAGTATATAAGAAAGAGAGAAAGAATCGAGTGATGAATGTTCAATCAGGATATTCACACTCAGTCAGTCGGTCGTCGGTCAGAGAGAGAGAAAGAGAGAGAGACGACGCGACGGGTGGGGGATACTTTGGCACGCGCAGCACTACTCCGATTCTCGACAATTATCGCGGTTGTATTATACGTATTATGCGTATATGTATATAGCCAAAGCAGAAAAAGTATTTGCAAGCAGCTGTATATGTATGCAAGTCATATGCGTATACGGATCGTTTCGATTCTTCTTTTGGATCGCTCGACAAATTAATGACGCATATATCAGCTCGCGGAGCCGAGACTTTTTTTTGTCCTCGCTGATAAAAAGGAAGAAACAAAAAAAAAGGTATCGAGAGAGGAGAAGTGGAAAACAAACCACGAGCGCGTAATCATCGCTGTGGGAACGTATGAGTTTGTGTCTGTGTGTGTGTGTGTGTGTCTGTGCCATATCTCGGGGGCCCCGTTTTGTGCTTCGCGCTGAGCTCGTGCATACATGCGGATGGACCTGTTTCGAGGATGCACAGCACACACACGTATTCATATGTGTGTGTGTGTGTGTGTGTACAGCGAACTTCGACGTCGACGACGACGAGTATATGTATCGCTGCAGGGTTGTGTAGCACTGCTGCGTATATATATGCACTCGATCGCGAGGACTACACGAACTGCATCGGCATATGTATATATAGGGAGCCAAGTATATCCCGCTGCTAAATGAGCTGTAATAGCGTCGGGGAACCCCCCTGCTGTTTTACCGCACACCTCCTCCTATATTTATATATGTGTGTACAACATCATCCATGCTTTTGCTACGTATACACGCGTACATTTCACGACTTTTCGATTTATACTCTACTCTCTCTTGACTCTCGACGACGTCTTTGTCGCTGCTGCTGCTGCTGCTGCCACAAAGCGACTGCAATGACTGCACAAGCGAAACGTGCGTATACGTGTTCGAGTAGTCGCAGAGTCGATAGAAAATCGCTCGAATCGGCGCAAATGGCCATATAATATGTGTAACGATTGATTCGCGGATCGATGACCCGATAGCTCTCTGCAGTTCTTTCATGGCAAGTCGCTTTGTATAGGCAATCTGTCTCGCACATTATCCACGGCATACGTGACGATTACAAAGTACACGCGTCGTCGTCGTATGAGCTCTCTCTCTCTGCCTCGTTATATTGCTGCAAAGCGAGAGCAAAGGGATCGCGAGATAAAAAAGGGTATACGTGTGTACGCGACTGCGGATATTGTTACAGCGCGGCACTTTGATCCGATCCTTGCGCCGCCACCGTGTTTAGTCAAGTGTTATCAGGGGCTCTTACATATAGGCGCAATAGGTCATGGGCCTCGACGAGCTCGCGAAACTCATCATCATTGCTTACTTACACGGTCGTCATCGACGACTATTCGATGAATCATATATATGGCTCTATGGCGTGGCATGTGGACGTAATACAAACGACCGAATGCACAGCTTCTGTGTATGTTTATAAGAGCGACGATCGAGCGAGGAGTTGGCAAAAAATTATAGCTATGCGTTTTTTGCATGCGGCGATCGCGCGCCGTTTATAACGAAGCAACTACACGCTCCCATCTTTTCGGGATATAAATTTCATTTTATCCATTCACGCATCAATTGCAGTCAGCGCAGCAACCGAGCTACGCTCGCGATGATAAAAAGTATTTTTATGGATCGCGGCGAGCTTAGCGCGCGCGCGCAACCGATCATCGCTCAAGCCAGTTCGAGTTGCGCAGCTACATTTATACACATACGAACTGCATGCGCGAGCACGAATCGGCCGCTTGGGAATCGATGTAATAAGAAAAAGGTGCGCTATATATACAAAGGCTTGTTAGGATTTCTGCCCCGCGTCTTTTTTTTTCGTTGTTGGTTTTTTAATTTTTTCAAGAATGTCGCTCTTTGGGCTATATACGGGACGGTCTTAACACTGGCGCTTGCGGGCTCTGATTAGCCTCGCAAAAAGTCGTCGTGCTCTCTTGGACGATGTATCGCTTCTTGTATATTATATCTATCGCGCTCGAGTATATATCCACCTTTTCGTCGTCGGGACTATACGCGCGTGGTTTGTTTTTTTTTTTTTTTTCATCGTTCATCGCGAGCTTCTGTGTTTCACCCTCGCGCGCGCACACCTATATCCATAAACACACATACTCGATGCGCGTCTCTCGTCCTTACAAAAAAATGCTCGGATTGTCGCGCTGGTCCCTTTTTGTGCCTCGTCTCGCCAGTGTGCTGCTCTCGACGGGCTGCTTATGTGTGCCCTTGTGGCGTGTGTGTGTGTTTCGTCTTGTTCGAATCCGCGCATTACAGGAATCGCTGATCGCTCGCTCGCTCGAATCTTGTATCGAAATAAAAATTCTTTCGAGCCTGGCGATCCTTTCTCCACCGCGCACGGCACTCGGGCGCGCTCGCGACGATCGCCGTACGGCTCTCGGATCGTGCAAAAAATAACATAATCGGGGGTAATCGCTCTCGGCAGGAGCTGTATACGGAGATCCTTCGCCCGGTAGTAAATAGGCAGTCGTAGTAAATTTTTGAATGGCTAATGTATATAAAGAAGAATCGCAGCTATATGTATGTGTACGCATAATACCGATCAATCATCGCTTGGGGCAAAAAATCTTTCTGGCCTCTCGCGTTCATCATCGAGTGAAAAAAAAGAAGCACCCAAGCCACCGAAAATATATGTGTGTCAAGATCAGTTCTCGGGGATTTTTTATCGTTCGCGCACGAGTCGTATAATATGCGCGCATAGACGCGCGACGCCCGCAGTCGAAACTTGTCGCTACCGTTTTTTCCGTAGATCGACTGCTTTATATGTAAAAAAGTGCGCTCAGGCCGTCCACGCGCGTTTCCCACATGAACAGCGAACGACAGCTCATGGACGGAGCATAGTCCGGTGTCAGTAACATCAGTGCGGCAGAGAAGAAGAAGGATGCGAAAAAGTTTCGCACGAGTCAGTCGATGCATACCGAAAAATGCAGCCATGGTTTGGCGATATAGAACTATGTGTAATAAGGATTGATCGGTAGTTGCGATGGAAATACCGTCATTATTACAATTATTATTGCGTTACTAATACGTTGACATATTATGAATGAGATGCAACTACAATAAAATATCGCACTCGGCAGCTCCCTTATTTTTCCTACTGCAGCAGTTCTCCATATAGTAGTAGCTAATAACCCAGAGCGTACAGTGTATAAAGCAAGCGATTAGGCTTAACCTCGGCGGCGGCGACGGTGGCGGTGGCGGCGCGCTCTATAGAGCCTTGCCGGTCGGCACTCGACGCACACACAGGTATATAATATAGGATATAATACGCAATCTGGAGCGGGCGGCCGGCCGCCGACCATAGCAACAGAGAGAGAGAGAGAGAGAGAGAGAGAGAAGTGGGAAGTGTGTGCACGTGTGTGCGTATATATGCGTATACGACTATAATACAGGCAGAGAATCGGCAAAAATACACGCATACACTTATAGCTCAGGCTGGGGTTCCATAGGACACGTACCCCTTCTCCCTGTAGCTGCTGCTGGTACCCACTCGGACTGTCTCTTTCTCTCTTCCGCCGTGAGTGCTGGATCTTCGGCGGCTCGGGCGATTCTGCCGGCGATCGCTCTCTGCCTGCCTGCCTGCCTGTCCAGGGTGGGGGTAAGCCGGGAGAGCACTCAAAGATCGCGGCAGTGACGTAGCCGCGGCAGCAGCAACGGCTCTCCGAAAAGCTACTTTTTGCGAGCTCCGCAGAGCTGTAAGCCGCGAGTCAGCCTCTCAGATATTGGCCTCTCTTTCTCGCTCGCTCTCAGCTGCTGCTTACCTGTGTGTATGTGTGTACTTTTACATACACGTACACACACATACGTGACAAGAGAGAAAGAGAGAGAGAGAGAGAGAGAGAGACGTGTATACACACATACACATACACATAGAGAGGCTCACATAGAGAGAGAGAGAGAGAGAGAGACATGCAGTTGGGTGGGGAGTGGGGGTAAAAGTGAAGCAGAAAGAGACAGACAGAGTACTGCATAGTTGACGTTGTTCTTATGCATGTGTGTGGGTGTTCGCGGCTACGTCTATGTGCAATTAGTAATTGCACTTCTCTCTCGTGTGGCTTTTTCGACCGATATCCAGGTGTGCAGGACTCGCCCAATTTGTTGTTCCTTGGCTGGCCCAAGGTGTGTGTGTCTGTGTATGTGTGTTAGCTGCTGCAACCCGAGTATATAGTGCGCTCCGCTGCTGCAGTGCGAGGCCCCAAAACTTTTTCGACGAAGAAATTAGAGAAATGCAGCAGCAGCATCAGCAGCGGTAACAGCGTTTCTCGTTGCTCTGCGCTTCTCCGTTGTTGTGTGCCGGGCATATTTTGTGCGTGAGCCGGGACCAGCGCGCGATTTATTCGCTCAAATGGAGTGGTACGAAAAACGCTGATCTCGACACGGTACCCTGCCTAAAAAAAAAAAAAAAAAACATTCCGAGCCGCCGTTAAGAGAGAGATGTGCTGTGCTGCAGCAGCAGCACCACTACTGCACTCATCGACGCATCAACGGACTGCGGATCGTCGCACTAGAGATTTTATACGAGTGATACGCGCGGATATAGGAGGACAAGATTGACTGATTGAGATTCGAGAGACAGAGAGAGAGACAGAGAGGAAGAGAGAAACGTCGCGAGGTCGTCGCCGCGGACAGCCAATCGAGTGCATTCATATGAGTGGCTATAAGCTACCAAGCAGGTGATATAGGACATGCGACCCGTCCTCGTGGCGGTATGGTTCCTCATTGTCACCCCTGTCATCGGCTCCTTCTGGTGAGTACCTTGTATATATCTTGACTCTCTTTGCATTTACGAACAAAAAACAAACTAGAAAAAAAAAACGATTTATCGAGAGGATCGTACGAGCGCACAATATAAATTAAATTATAACGTGACGCGAGCTCGTAATATACATCGGCGCGAGCGGAGCGAGCAAAAAAAGGAGCTCGAGACCGAAACAGTCGTATACGTATATAGTACACGCGAGGACGCGATGGTGACGCGAGGCATTCTCGATCACGTCGCTTTAAAAACTCGAGCCCTGCACGCGCGATAAATCATCATCGCAGCAGCTCAATCGTCCAGCGAGCAAATATATTATTTATAAATACTTTATAGGACACGGAGGAATGCCCGAACGCACACCAGAGCTGCCTGCATGCGCTGCTGCTGCGAGAAAAACGCGTCGCTATACAGCCGATCGACTCGTCGCCGTCCATCCATCCGCGCGCATGCCAGCGCGTGCAAATCGATATGTATTATAGCGACACGTCGTCCTTTCTGCGCTCGCGATCGTAAACGACGACGACGACGAGCAAAAAACGCGAGCTTGACGCGTGTCGCGCGAGTCGATATATACACGCATTATAATAATAATAAAAATGCAAACGAGTCGCGATTCGACGGGTTGATTCGGAGCGCGCACGAGTCCTTTTAACGTTTACACGGGCTTTATAATAGAGAGAATAGAGCGCGAGAAATTCCCGCGTAGATCTGTTTGTATAGTAATACGCGTGCGTGCGGTAGTCAGCCCGGTCGCGCTGCTTCTGTGCAGTTCGCGCCTCGCCACGGCTTCTGCACACTGACATCCCGGGAAAAGCTGTAAATTAATCGCGCCAGCACTTGGTATGTTTAGCATGTAAATGTTTGCCGTAGCGTAAAACAGCCACTGCTACGTGTACCTATGTGTGTTTGTGTGTGTGTGTACGTGAGAATGTCCGTGTACAGTTGGCTTATCCTCTCGAGAGCACACCTCGGTTTTTCCGGCCTCAAGGCTCTACCCCGGCTCACATCGCTCTCCAATGCATCTTTGATAAGATTAAACGCGTGAATTGGCACTCTCGACAAAAATAGCGGCTCGTACAGCAGCAGCAGCAGCAGCTTCGGGAAGAATCGAAAGGCGTCTGTGTCGCGCGAGGGGTGTGTATAGCGCAGTGGTCAGCGCTGCAGCTACCAACAATTCTAATATGCACACGCGCGAGTGTGGACGCAAGTACAACAAGTCCGGCCAGATGCGCCACGCTCGCCGTCGCTGTGTTTGTATACGTAAATGGGACCTCCTAATGTGCGCTAATATTTGCTCGACGTGATTTAAAAAAGGGGATTCCGACCGCAGCTCGGGGATATGTGTGTATTAAGGCAGCATAATACGTATAGCAGCACTGGACACTCGAGCGAACGTTTTCTATTTGGTAAACGTATTAATAAGTGCGCAACGATTTTCTCGTCCGCGAAATTCCATCAATTAGCGCTCGAGCTGGCTCGCTCGTGTATATAATGCAGTATATAAGTATATGCACTACTGCACAGAGACGCGCGTCAATATAATATATTTCGCTGGTGAAATCAACTGTGTATCGGATATACGCACGCGCGTATTATACACACACACATACAGTCGCATACCCGCACACACACATTCACACATGAGCTGAGAAGCTTCGCACAGAGAAAGAGAGAGAGAGAAAGAGAAGGATAGGCTCTTATAAAGAGCAGACCGGATTCTTCTCTTTTTCGTTGCTATCGCGACATTCCACGACAGAATCCTCCAATGCTTATATACTTATATACGTATGCATACGAAGCTTCTTCTCTCTCCCGTCGTTTTTTTTTTTTTTTTTTTTGTTTGTTTGTCTTTTTTTTTTGTTCTGACTTTTCGCCGATCACGTGCGAACGACTAGCGGGTTAATTGCTTTTATAAGTATATATACGGAAACCTGAGCGCGCTCGCACACAGGGATGCGAAAAAAGTATAAATAAGGTAGAGTAAAAAAGATGGTCAATGAAATTTTTCAATGCCGCGCGCGCTCCATGCGTTCGGATAAGCCCGCCTTGTGTTTTATAAAAAGTACAACGAGTCCAGTAGTCCGGGCACAGGTTAAATTCCCTCCAGGAAAAAATAGACTCTCTCTGAGAGGTACGATAGAGAGATAGAAAAGTTGAGATTACGACGAAGGGTTGAAAAGTTGTTACAGTATCGAGCCTGGGTAGCAGCGAGCCCAAGGTATATTATATAGCGTGTACCGCACTCTGTCTGTCTCGTCGCAATGTAGGGGACGGAACCAGAGAGACAGAGAGAGAGAGAGAAAGAAAGACGATGAGAGCTTATGTATATACCTATAGAGGTGTATATATAGGTGCGCGCGATGGACAATGGTCTCGCGTTCGCGTCACCGTAAATCTCGTTGAGCGTGTATAATTTGTAAGTCGACAGGTAGGTTATATACCCGCGCGCTCGCTTCTGTCGTCCGACGCGTTTTCTCTCCTCGCTCGAGTTGGAGCTCGCGATCATGGAGCTCCCCCGAAGCGCGATCCCTTTTTCTCGACTACTCGATCGCGACTCGTAGCCGACTCTATACGTGGTGTCTCTCTGCTCGCGTCAATTGTCGAGCTGCTGCTGTACACTCGCTCATCCACGCGTGTGACAATTTTTGGGCTAAACTATAGCAGGTACACACGCATAATTGCACGTTGACGAGCGATCAGAATCGGGTCATTAAAAGCTGCGTGCAGTGTAGTACGCGAGATCTCGCGTCCGATCGTCGCTTGGCATTTTAATGAGCTTCGAGAGAGAGAGAGAGACTCGCGACGAGCTCAACGAGACTTGAAAATATTGAGTATTGTATTTTAATTAGGCCTCGACAAGTAAATACCCGGTGCGCGCGTGCAGTGCAGTGCACAGAGCTTCAACTTGAATTGTGTCACAGAACCGCGCGGACGAGTGCATATCGCTGCAGTCGCATTGCACCGGCACTGCAGCTTTAATAGTATGCGTGATTGACAATCGCTAAACGAGCGAGATCGCTTTATAGCCGCACCGGGAGTATATAACACACGTTGCGCACCGCACGAGAGAGAATATTCGATAAAAACATCGATTTACTCGCGTCGCGGCTGAATAAATCCTCGATTGATTCGATTTTTCGTGCCCTCGCGCGCACTCCAGCAGCAGCAGCAGCAGCTCCATAATCTCTCGACTCTACGCAGGAATTTGAAGCGTTGATACTTCATAATATACGCGTTTTATCCTACGGAATTTGTTGCGAGCGCGCGCGTCGAAAAGAAAAACTGCTGCTACCTACTATACTGGTACTTGCTACAGGCCTTAATCGATCGATGGCCTCGTTTTATTTCAATTCCTCCGAGAGTGAAGTTTTACGCTCGTTAAAAAAGCACGCATGCATTAAAATATATAAATTGATTAAATAACTCATCTATTATCTCGCGCATTGTTGAGGCGCGCCGCGCTTGGAAATATATTCCGCGCGCATTTAGACGAGTACGCGCATGAGCTCGACTCGGCGGTATTCGGGAAATTCGTTAATGCGTCGGAGTGCGGATCGCAAATTAATCTCGCGATAGGCGCGTTCTCATTTTTCTCGTTATATACAGAGCTCGTGCGATATATGCATGTCAAAGCCGTTTATGTAAGGCATTTTCTCTGCCTCGCGAGATCGCGGCGCGCATTGTAACCCTCGGAGCTTGTATGTATGTATACGCGCGGGCTCGTGCTTCAAAGAGAAAGAGAGAGAAAGAAAAAAGAAAGAGCTGCATATATTATATACACATATATACTTGTTTTTACAGGCGTAACGCCTGAAAAGTGATTTACGAGAGAACCGACCCTTTGCTAATATTCCTCTCTTATATCACATACGTATGTAACCCGCACACGTACACATATTGTATATGCACAGCTCGGACGACGACTTTGGGAGCGTGGACCACGCGATTTACCAGCTCTCATCGCGCTCGGCGCTGCGGATGAATAATTCCCCGGGATGCAATTAAAAATTGAATCTCTGGAATATATATATATAGAGCCGGTGGATGAATAATTAATTTTCGCGCATCGCGCGCCCAAGGAAACAACGCAATTTCGAGCGCCGCGGTTCCTCGCGCAGCTAGTCAAGAGAGCTAAGCCGTGTAAGCTCGCAGAGTACGCGCAGCGATGTCTTTATTGTGGTGCTGCTGCACGACGACGAACGGGTATTCGTTATGCCAATTAGCTCGTGCACTTTGAGAACGTAAAACGATTAGCACTTCAAAAGAAATTTAATTAGTTTCGTCTGGGCGTGTGCACGAGCGAGCTCGAAAGCCTCGCGGAGAGCCTAGAGAGTCTAGAATCTAGTGGTGTATTTGGTTAGCGTACAGGCGTGCATGGAAAAGCTCGCTCTCGAGAGCTTGTAATACGTGTGCGCGCTCGACTCGAATTTTCTAGTCAACGATCATCGTGCGAGCTGCGGTGGCGTACGATATCAGCCGCAGCTCTCGAAGCTCTGTGTACGAGAAGTTATAGTATACGCGTCCTTTTCCATCCTCCCGATTCTGCTGTTGCTGTTGCCGCGGCGGTGTCCTTGCGTCGCTCATCCGGTGCGAGATATCCGCGGAATTCGGGCTCAGCTCGAGAGCGCGATATACGCGTATAAAGCTCGTCACTGTCTATCGCGTCCGAGTCAGACGGCGAGTCTCCTCGGGGCCCCGTGAGCTCGCGCGCGCGCGCGCTTCTAATGAGGCCATAAATATAAAGAGTCGGCCTCGCGGGTTTTACTCCGCTGTGTGTGCGTCTCTGCGTGCGTATTATATATCTGTGCCCGACTCTGCGCTGCATGTGTACGTGTATGTGCACACGTGCGCGCGACTGAGCGACACAACGTGTCCATCTTCCTCCTCCTCCTCCTTACGCATCTCGTCTTTTTATCTTTCGAGCTTGAAAGAATAAGGATATATATACGAAACTTTGCTCGCTCAGTGCACATCGAGCTCGAGGATTGCTCGCTGATTGACGTGCTATCGCACCCTCGTCGCGGTTATATAGACCCCAGACTCGAGAGAGAGAGAGAGAGCTGATGCACGTCGATATACAGGCACAGGAGAGGAAGAAAGAGAAAACACGTATGCGTGTATCGTATATGCATGTGTGAGTGCTCTCGCACATACGTGGGAATTTAAGTAGGCCAAGTGTCGTCGTCGTCGTCGTCGTCGCGAGAGACAGAGAGACGAAGAGAGAAGAGAGAGAGAGAGAAAAAGAGGAGGACGAAACAAGTGGGAGGACGACAGGATATTTCGCTTTAATGGTTACTTGTGATTTGTGGTCTTGAAAGGAGTATATAGGGCCCTTTTGTTTCTCTCCCGCGTCGACGACGACTCCCTTTTATATTCGCCTTACTACTGCCTCCCGGTGCATGATAAGGATTCGCTGCTGCAGCGGCAGCCCAGTGTGCACCTCGCTGCATAATGTGATCGCTCTTGCTGCTGTTACTACTGCTGCTGCTGCTGCTTTAAAAAAAGGAAAAGAATAAAGAGCGAGGGATCCACTCCACTTCTGTCTTTGAATGATACCTGTCGACTTGGACTTAAATCACTCAACGTATAAAGGCATAATCCCTATTATGCGATATTAAGCTCGTTTATCGAGACAAATGCCCGCAACAAAGAGATATATAATATACTTGCTCGCTGCATTGCGTTTTACGCGCGTATACTAATTTTCTACCGGAGTTCTAGAAATTGCGCAACTATTCGCGCGCTTGACTAATTTTAGGACGCGTTGAGAAACATGCCTATGGGTCTTTTTGCCTCTCCCGCTCACTTCCGGAGACAAATTATTTCTGTGCCGAGCTTGCGCGCGCGCGCGCTAAGTGGCTAACTTGTCGCGTCCATGCTATTTTGCACTATTAATAATTTGATTATCCAATGTCCATTAAAACTTAACATACTATTGGGTTAAACTTTAGGACTTTTTTTTTGGTTGAATTTTTATTCGGCAATTTTATTTACCTTTTTTCGATCAATCGCTTATTTCCACTTTCAGCGACAATTTATGGTCTCTATAACAAATATCTCGCGAGCACTTCAAAATTCCCAAGTGTATCCCTCGGTCGGGGCATCAATCAGCTATTACCGCGACGAGAGAGAGACACGAGAGATCCAGAAAAAGGTGTGCGGGGTTGCTGAGCTGTGCCGGTGCAGATCCGTCCATCCGCGCACGCTGCACACTGCACCGCAGCAGTGGGAAAGTGACCATACGAAAGCTGCGGGGCCTGCACAAAAAAGTCAAATTCTACCGCTCGAGAGCTCGGCTGCTGCGGCTGTCCGTCGAGTCGCGTATTCTTCCTCTTCTTTTCTCTCTCTCTCGCTCTCTCTCGTTCCAACACTCAATACGTTCTCACGCGCGTGCAAGTGTGCACAGTTGCTGCTGGGCTCGTTCGGTGAGGCCAAACGGTATTCGGCTATTTTCGCGAGATTTCATCTCCACGCCGCCGAGCTGCTGCCCCCGAGAGAATTCATCCGTATAAAAGCGACGTGTGAGCTTTTGGGCTGTTTCGTTGGTTCCGTCGAGTCGTTGTCACGATGACAAGACATCGAGCAGCCGATGCGTCACCGCGCGCGGCAGTAGCGATCGTATAACACACATACACACAAGTACACACGAGCTTACGTCATTTAATTGCAGCGCACACATCCTTCGAACTTCTTTTATGATTTTATTGTATCGCGAAAAATTCCTCGGGCATTAGTCGATTTTCGAACGCAGCTATGATCGTTATTCATAGTATCTGCTAATACGATGTATCCTTTGGGTAACGACAATTCGCTTTGCATCGTTGCGCGCTGACGAAAGTTCCAAAACGTCACCGCGTGCGATCTGCTCTGCAGCAGCAACAGCAGCAACCACGGCATTCCTCGAGCGATGAAACATCTCTAGCTAATGATTTTAATTGGAGTTTTAAGCAAAGACAACTATTTTAATTCTACATATTCGTACGTCTGCTTTTTCCTCGAGCTTTGTCGGTCAGTCTTGAGACCAGCACTCGGCTTGTATACTTTTCATCGCGAAAGCCCTTGTTATCCGTTTTTCTTATCTCTCGCGAGAAAGAGAGAGAAGGAGATTTTATAATTGACGTTCGAGGAATGCACGAGCAGGTGAAAATTCTTATCTGAATCGAGAGCAGCAGTAATTTGTAAATTTTTCCCTTGAAAAAGTTTTTGTCCTCGAACGCACGAGGAATCTGCCTCGTCAAAAATAGGATGATACATATCACCTCCTTCTCTCCTTTTCCCTGTACTTGAATCATCAAACGACTCGGGAAATACACGGCTCGTACGTAATTCACGCTGGGCACGGCGCAATTCATATTCGAGTACTTTTAAATGGAACGGAGCAATAAATGTACGCTTTGTATACATGTTTTGTCACTTTGCAGGACCGTAGGTAGTCAGCTGGTAATGGACCCGATGCTCGTGTGCAAGAAGACGCGCCGTCTCAAGGGTAAGCTCGCCGAGATCTGCCGCAAGGAGCCGGCTCTGCTCAAGCAAATTACCAAGGGCATGCAGATCGGCACGAAGGAGTGTCAATATCAGTTCCGGAATCGTAGGTGGAACTGTACGACTTTCAAAAGGTCTCTTAAGAAGATCATTCTGCGCGGTAAGTCGTATTATAAAAAAGGCAAATATTTGCAACTCGACCACATTACACAAGCTGCTACCCTCTCTTTGCAACTAGACTACCGTTTCGAGCCTCTCTGCGCCAAAATGTATACAGCTGCGTTTAATGATATTCGATGTGTATACATACGAGATTTGAAAGCGCGAATAATTCAGAGAATCGACTCTTTCGCGAAGGCGCGATATACACATTTTCTTCCAGGTGGGCATCGTCTTGCACAACTGCCGCTGCTTCAACGAATTGACAAAAGCAGCCTCCTTCCTCGATTTTATTGCTCCGTATCGCGTCATAAAAAAAGTGCCGAATTCGCGAGTACGCGCGCGCGCTGTGTTAACTTTTCCATATAAATACATCGTGGACTGTGCACGCGCGCAATAAATTGGATATCGTAGGCGGAATAGATGACCCAAATTTTCAAGGTAAGCACGGTGTTGATGTCCGCTGCACATTCGTCCTAAGGATATTATCCCACCTCTAGTTTCCGAAAAGTCGCTTTCTGGCAAAAAAAATACGCGCGTTCTGCAATTCGCATCCCAATGACGAATATGCTCTCGGGTCACAAATGGTATATATAATATTATTTTGCGCGTATATACTTACGCGAGTTGGCAATTAAAGTGGAAGCGAAAAATGCCGAATCCGCGCGTGCAACAAGACAAGCCGATCGCAGAGAGGCTCTCTTTCTTTCTCTTTCTTTCTCTCTCTCTCTCATCGGTAACGGGCGCCGTTTCTTTTCTCTCGTTCGAGAGCTTATCTCGTTCTCGGATTAAGAGGTAGCGGGAATAAATTTTAATTTGGCCCCTCGCAGTGCAAAAATCCCTTCGATGCACATACACGCACACGCTAGCACAGGCCTCGTATATATGTACATTCGCAGGCGCCTCTCTTTCTCTCTCTCTCTTTCTCTCTTTTCCTCTCTGCGAGTTCTCCACTGCTTCTCACACACACACACACACACTCACGCACGAGGCAGAGCATCGGCATCAGCAGCAGCATCAACGGCACAGCGTCAGCAGCAACGGCAGCGTGTATTATACATATTAAGTGGTATTAATTCCGGTCAATCGAGCGCGACAACTAAATCGAAGACAGCGTGTCCAATAGGCCGTATGGCTTAGGTTATATCAAAGATCTCTTCTCTCTCGCTGACTCGAGCTGCTTCTCTTCGCTGCGATCGTCGTCGTCGTCGTCGTATGTGTGCGCGCGATTTTTTTCTCCTCCTTTTTTTTCGTCGATTTTGGTAGCTCTTGACAGATTAATACTGTCCGTGGGATATTAGTGGCAATATGTTCTCTTAATCGGACGTTCTTATATATATGCTGCTCGTTCGGTGTGTGCGTGTGCGTGCTTGGCTTGGCTTGCGCGCGATTTTTCTCTTTTGATGTTCTCTCTCAATCTCTTTTCTGCAGCAGCAGCAGCAGCTTATAAGCGAGGAAGAGCCCAGCTAAGAAATATAATGTGATCAAGATCGTTGCTGATCTCTCTTTCTATCGCTTTATATGTATTCCTCGCTGCAGATCGAGTGTCGATAACGCCGATAGAGTTTCCGATCTCGCTTGCCTCTCTCTTACTCTCGATTGAGATCGATCGATTCCGATCGGATGGCCTAGTACAGCATTATACATATACGTGTCCACTGAACGTGTGTCTGTGTATGTGTATGCACGATCGCGTATACCATACAGAGGGCAAATTGCCGCTCGCTTAGATCTGTCTACCTACTGTTTCGCGAGTGATGCCCTGCTCGAGATAAACGATACGTACGTGTGTGCATTCGAGTCGAGGGACTCCGAGCAGCATCGCAGCTTTAAAGTTAAAAACTCAATGTGGATTACCCGGAGGATATAGAGCTCGAACCGTACGCACGCCTGTTGGCGCTCGTCCTTCAAACGCTTTTGAAAGAGTACACGTAATGAAAATTCAATCGATCGCGACGCCTATAAAGTATCATTGATTTTTTTTTATTCTCAACGAGCCGCACGCGTATATATAATATGTATATCGAGTAATTGAATTAGATCGACAGATTTGAGATCTCGCGCGTCGAAGCGAGGAATATATGATTTAAACGACTTAGCGCGCGCGCGAGCAATCGTGTAATGTGTTTTACAGTGGCGTATACGGATCTGATTGATGTGTTTCGAATAGGCTCGACGTTTGTTTGCAATCATCGAGCGATTAAAGCCTTGACTCATAGAGTCGTTTTATCAATTTCCTGGGGCCCCCGACCGATATATAAATTAAATCGCAGAAAACTAGTTTGGCCGATTTCTGTGCAGCGGCACACGGTTGAAAATCGCGCGCTCGAGATCTCGCTTCGATCTTCGCACGCGTGTTAAGCGTGTACAAAAGTATCGAGGTAAACAACTTTAAAACATATGTACGATATCAACCATAAACAACGCTAAACGAATGTTTCGCCTGAAAAACGGCTTCGCAGTTACGTAAAGCTCTTTATATACCTATATATCGTATACATATTTTGTTGTCCTCGTGTTTTTGTCATCGCAGTTTTGCGATCTCTCAAATAATTTTCGACGTAAAAAATGTCTGCGAGCTCGCAGTGTATCGTCTCGTGAAATAAATCAACTTTTCACTCCTGCCGCGCGTGTATATTAAACATTTATACTCGTGGTAGTACGTGTGTCGTGTGCTTATACATGTAGCGTGATTCGTAGCGTACGGACTTATTATAGACATAAAAAAGGATAAAATAGATAATCTCTCGGAGGCCACCATCATCGCATCGCGCGCGAGCTAGAGCTCAGGAAGAAGAAGTAGAGAGAGTGAGAGAGAGAAAGAAAGAGACAGAAGGAAAGATGATAGAGTCATCTCTCTCGGCATGTATATTCATATATAAATATACAAGCGCGTTGACAGTGAAAGAGAAGAGGCTACGGCCTAATGGGAAATGAAATAAAGCCGCGCAGTCTGGCTCGAGAAGCGAGCGATAATGCGAAAAAACGAGAAAAAAAAGGCGATGAAGGCAGGACGAGTGGAGAGAAGGTAAGTTGGTGGAATATGTATAAATAACGCAAGCTGCGTGGCTCGGTCGCGCGCCTCCTCGCATACACACATACGCACACACTCACCACACAGACGTTATTGCCATGAAACGTCCAATGGATCGATGACAGTAAAACTGCTTCTCTGCGCTTCTCTCTGTGGGAAGTCCCTCTATCTCCGAGAGAGTAGAGAAATCATCGCTGCAAGTGTGTGTGTGTGTGTGTAGGCTGCGCGAAGGCCCACCTGGTGATTTTTTGAAGAAAAAAAAGAGGACGGATTGTAGAATTACCAGTGAATTACGCGCCTATTATATCACCACGAGAGCCTAGACGAGTTGCGAGGTGTTTCCAGCTTGTGTATGAGTCCTGCGCCCGTCGCAACTCGTCCGATCGCGTCGTCTCGAGCCAAACGAAGGCAAGGACTCGGTTGTGTTAGCGAACGCGGCGTAGCGAAAAATTATTGTCCTTGACTCTGTGTGTAAATATGTGTGCGAAAAAAAGGAATTACTTTTTGCATCTCGCGAGCGCAGAGCTCGATTTGCTTGTGTTTCCGAAAAAAAAGAGAGAGAGAACGAGACATTGAAATCCGCGCGCGATCGCAGAAAGAGTCTCGAGAGAAAAAGAGAAGCTAGGAAAGTCATCATCATCAACAGGTTCCATTTTACCCGGGCAACGTGCCAGAACGATTCACATATATTATCTCTTCTTCTTCTCTCATTCTCTCTCGTTCTTGCTCTCCAGAAAGATGGAAAAATTCCGTTGCTCAGCGGCAGCAGTAGTTACCATATAGTAGCGAATACACAACGTGCTGAGGACTTCTCGCTACTGCTCGTCTCTCTCTCTCTCTCGACTCTCGCATATTATACGACTGCTTGCGACTATCTTAATTCCGTCGATTGACATTTATTTATCGGTCGACGTTTAATTTTTACGGCCTAGATCGCTCCGTGATAGGTCGGCTTGGCGTGCGTGAGCCGAGGATCTCTGGGCAACTTTGTGTGGTCTCTAGTCCTCTGCGCGTATATGAGCGAGCTTCTTTTTTTTTCTTCTTTTTTTTTTGTTGTTGTTCTGCACAACGTGTATATATACGAGCACCGAGTCTCTCGAGGGTGTCGTATCGTACAAGGATTAAACGAAGAAACGAATTCAATTAATTAAAAGTTTGATGTAGCGTTTCATTTTCCTGTAAAAATTCACTTGCGGATTTTATATAATACAACGCAAATATAAGTTAAGCTTTTATTGAGATGTCACCGGGCGTAATCCTGAAATTTATCATTTTCGACGTAATGCCCGATAAATCAATGGACAGCGAGCTGCGTCGAATTAGAATACCGCAGAACTCTCAACGATCCCATCATCGCTCGAGTCACATACATAATTTTCGCGAAAAATATTAAATAAATCAGCGAAGAAATCATCGAGAGCCTCGAAGAGATTTTTTTCATACATAATCGTATTCATTGCTCGCTTATAATATAATAATTATATATGCGTCGTTGAACGAGAGTCTCGGCCTCGCGCGCAGACAGCCTGTCGACATTTTTTTCGCCGCGTGTGGCGCGGAGCACACGCATATAAGCGATATACTGTCCCTGAAACGCCAAAAAGTTCGAATGCAAAAATGATGCTCGCGCGCCCAAAGCCCGTACTACACGCATAGTGGTACATGCAGTAGAGACAGAGGGCAGAGGAGGAAGAGGAGAAGGAGGAGGAAAAGAAAAAAATTATATTTACGATTGGTCAAACGTGTTAATTAACGCTGGCGTACGTATATAAACTATATAGTATAGACCGGGACTCGAGCGCGCACGTGTGTGCGAGCGAGCGGCCAAGAATTTTTAGCCCGAGCAACAACATTGTTTTACGAGTTTTTAGACGCCTTTTTGTTATAGCAGAAGTGCTCGTGCAGTTTTATTAGTTTACGGTCGCGTCCAAGCTCGCGCGCGCCTGGATGAAAGTTTAAATTGAGCG